GCTCCATAGCATAGTTTTATGACCTTGTATAGTTAAAACTTAGTTTACTGTCGTTCTACTCTTACCGTGAACAGTCGAGTTTATTTCAATTTTTATTCTTTCATTATTTTATTATTTCATGTCTTTGTATAGCTTTGAATACATATAACTCCAATTCTACTGTTTTCGATTCGTAATCTGATTGGTTGGCAAACTCGAGTATTCACGTCACGGTTAGAGTATAAAGACAGTAACTAGACTGCAATAGTACAAACAACGGCACAAAGAAGAAGATCCGTGTCGTACCCAGAGCCTTTTATTCTTAATGCGCATGCTCGACGAAATAAATAGGCTCTGGAAAACTCCAATGCCCGGAAGCAAGATTCTGGCTATTTTACACATGCGCACTATCAAATTTAAACCGGAGATTTAGCACTACCAACTGAAGAAAAAAATGGCGGACGGTCATGTACTGAGGACGATATGAATACACGTTGCTCTCAATAAAATGGGCTTTGAAAATAGGTCCAAGGTCATAGAGAAACAATACGGAGCCATTATTCATATAGTAGGGCTAAAACGGTTCTTTAAAACCAACCAACTGAACAACAGGACAAGCTGATAGAGTATTGTTATGGATGAGGTAACTGATTTGATTATTGAACTAAGGTCAAATGTTCAGAGAAAATACCTTGACAATGAGTTGAGTAAATCCGCTTACATCGGTCATCGCATCGTCGTCAAACTCAATCTAAAACATAAATAAAAGAACCGAAGCATTTATGTTCAAGCGAGAGGAGGAGTAGAGGGTATGAGGGGTAGGGTGGGAGAGGTAGAGGGCAGGGGTAAGGTGTGGAGGAGGGTCAAGGTAGAGAGGTAGAGAGTAGAGGACAGAAGATAAAGTGAGGAGGAGGGTAGGGGAGAGGGGTCGGCAGAGGATTGGGGGACGGGGATAAGGTGGGAATAGAGGTAGGGGAGAGAGAAGAGAGTAGGGGTGGAGGTAAGGTGGATAGGGGGTATGAAAGAGGGGTAGAGAGTAGGGGGCAGGAGATAAGGTCTAGAGAGGAGAGAGTAGAGGTAGGGATAA